TCTCTGCAGGAGGCGGGGAGATTCTCCGCAGCTGCAGCCAACAGAAGGTCTGAGGATAAAGGAAGCAAAGTTAAAGAACCTGACCTCCGTCTGGGTTCCTCTTTGTCTCTCCTCCTGCTTTATCCTTTCTATTCTTCTTCTTGCTCTATTTTACTCCTTTGCAGTTTTGTCACTTTTTTGGTAGAATATTTGCTGTCTTGTCTTCTGACCCTCGAGACCCGAGAATCTTTAAAAAATATATTTCCTTAAAATGTTATTTTGAAGGCTAATTGTGTGAAATGAGAAGAGAATGAATCCAGATCTAAGAACATGAATGTTCAGAATAGATTTTACCTCCATCTGTGTAAAATGACGGTATGATAAAAAAAACAAAAACAAAAGAACAGGTTCAGGTTTAAAAAAAATCTAAATCAAAAGGGAGAAATAAATATATAATTATTTTTAAATTGAATCTTTGATGAAATTGGTTTTATAATTAGAGAAATATTTAACTGTAATATTTTTCACTGAAAATAAGCTGCTCTTCTAGAAACGTTAAAATGTTCTTTTCATTTTTTTGTGCTTTCTTTTAAATGTCAGGTTAAAAAAGTATTCTAATTTCATTTTATTCAAATAAAAACAATAACTAATTTTAAATGTTTATTAGCTCAACAATGATCTAATTAAGCAATATGTAAATGAAACATTTCTACAGAACATGGATCTATAAATCCCTGCAGAATAAAACATGAACATCTCGAGTTTCGCCTGAATAAAAGTCATTTCATTTTTTCCCAGACTTTTTTTTCCAGCTTTAATAAATCAACCTGTTTAAGTCGTTTCCTTTGTAAATGTTTGTTCTATTTGATATTAAATACAAATAATTTTATTATTTGTCTTTTATTAAATGTGTGCCTGCATCGATGACTTATCTATCGTTATTTTTAAAGGAAAATTCCGCTCATATTCAGAATTCAAACTTCTGAAATTTCTTTAAATATGAAATTATTCCATCCTGTTCAATAAATGATCAGTGTTTTTAATTCAGAGTAATTTTCATGTGAATGTGCGTTACTGGAGGCATCCATGTTTGTCAAAGAACACTACATCTTTAAACAACAGCCTGCTTCCATTAGTGTTCACAGCCTCCTAAACGCCTTTTAATAGAAATAGAATCATCAGGCCGTCAGTCATTCCTCTCTGGTTCTCTTTCCCTCTTCCTGCCCTCCTCTCTCGATGAAAGTTGATTTCACGCGGAAAAAGAACAGAAATAAAATGGAGTCAGCAATAGATTCATAAGACAGAAAATGGAGAGCCGGTGATTCTGTCTGCGGTGTTTGTGCTCCAGGGTCCTCGCTGCTCTCGCTATAGAGCGCTGTTTCTAAAAGTGCCTTGCCCCCCCTCCCTCCACAGGAGCCTGTCAGATGATAAAGAGATGTTGTCAGGCGCTGATTATCCGCCTCCCAACTAAAAACAAGTAAAACATCAAATGCACAAAGACCACACGGGGACTTGGCCTGATTTTTTCTCTCTTAATTTCTCCTCCATAAATCTCTCTTTCCGGTTCCCCTCGCTGCGCCTCAGTCTCTGTCAGAACTAACGTGCGTGTTTTGCCTGCTGGGGAGCAATTTGATTTGTTCTGCCATTTTATTTTACAGCTCATATTGTTTCTTGTGTATTGTTTTTATTATGACGGCTTAATTCATGTGGGCGCCTGTGGCGGCGCGGGGCCTGGTCCTGCATCACCTGGAAGGAGGACGGGGACAGCCATAGAGCAATGAAGTGAGAGGGAGCTGCATCGGCGCGCCGTGCGTGTGTGGAAATGTGTGTGCGGGAGTCCTGTTTGCAGCATGCATGGCGGCGCTGACGGGAATGATGAAGCGCTAGACTCTAATTCTAACAAAGAGCTTCAGACTGTTTGATGCCTGTGTGCAGGAACACAAACACACCCGTCATCTGGAGGAGAGAGCGCTCTATATCACCATTATAAGGTCCACATGCATTAAGCCTCAGTCACTGTTAGAAGAGCCATAGAAGGAGGAAAGTCACACCCAGAGGATGTGACACCCTGAAAACAGGAGGAAAAAACAAGGGAGGCTCCGACTGAAGCTCTGAGGGTCATTGGTAACAAACACTTCAGCCAGTTTGCACAGATTCAACTTCTCACCTGCAAAACCATTCAAAATGGCAACGGAATGGCAGCCCACTTCCCTGCAACTCCCAGTGAAATCCCCTCCACCTTCCAGGCACTGGAGTGACCCCCTCTTTCTCCTGGGTTTGCATTTTTTTACTCTGACTCCACCCTTTCACTGAATTACAGGGTCTGACCAGGAGGTGATGCTTCTCTTTAGATTTCAATGTCCACAAATCATGACAGAAAGAATATTTTAGATGTTTAAAAAGGAATTGTAAGGGACCAGCCAAGGGCCAGCCAGGAGCAGCCAAAGACCAGCCAAGGGCCAGCCGAGGACCAGCCAAGGGCCAGCCAGGAGCAGCCAAAGACCAGCCAGGACCAGCCGAGGACCAGCCAAGGACCAACCAATTACCAGCCAGGACCAGCTGAGGACCAGCGAATTACCAGCCAAGGACCAGCCAAGGGCCAGCCGAGGACCAGCCAAGGGCCAGCCAGGACCAGCCAAAGACCAGCCAGGACCAGCCAAGGACCAGCCAAGGGCCAGCCAGGACCAGCCAATTACCAGCCAGGACCAGCTGAGGACCAGCGAATTACCAGCCAAGGACCAGCCGAGGACCAGCCAAGGACCAGCCAATTACCAGCCAAGGACCAGCAAATTACCAGCCAAGGACCAGCCAATTACCAGCCAAGGACCAGCAAATTAACAGCCAATGGCCAGCCAAGGACCAGCCTAGGAACAGCCAAGGACCAGCCAATGGCCAGCCAGGACCAGCTGCGGACCAGCC